GGTTTTCCGGAGTTGTGATTCGGTGGAAGACGTTTTGATAAGATAGAGTTCTATCTTCCTTCTTTTTTTCTTCTTCTTTTTTGCTCTCTACGGGGAGGAAGTTTTGTTAGGGAGCAGTCGAGTTGATGCACAACCATTGGTAAGACAAGGTTATCTTATCGCTTCTTTTTCTTTTTTTTTCTTTTGTAGGAAAATTGATTTGGGTTCGGTTAGGCGTCTTTTTCACCCGAAAGGTATTCATAAAATTGCTCTACTCTTTTCTTTTTGTTTGCTTCTTCTGTGCTGGGAGGTTGGATGGTGTTTTCATTAGTTAACAATGTAGAAGTTGTTAGAAATTGTGGGTTCAGAGTTTTTCCGCTTTCTTGACGAGGAGTTGTGTGACATTTTATTGGGAGAAGTTGTGTTGGTACTTGTTTTAATGAAAATGTGAAATGTTGGTACAATGTGGTTTTAGTTTTTTAACTTTTGAGAAGAAGAAGATTATGTTTGTGTTCATGAAAAGTGTTGAAAATATATTTTGACTGATATCTTTTTGTACGTACAACTTCTGCCTTGACTAACAAGTTTAATGTACTTTAGATTGTTTTTTGTATAGACGAGATATATGTGGTTAACTTTTTGAGCAATGTTGAATAATATTTTTTCAATTACGAACAACATATTGAAGTAAAATATATGTTATATATTAACTGTTCATTTGCTGAGATAAGGTTCGATTGATTTGTATTCGACAAAATGGAAGAGTAGGATGCGCTTTGAATGGAAGATGCTGGTGCACCGAATTTGATGTAAGCATAAATTTCAATGGAGAATAAGCGCATGGATTGTCAGAAATCGTGATTTATCGAAACTAGAAACATGTCTAATATTTTGTATCCGAAACAGTCTCATTCAGAAAAACCTACCTTCGGTAAAAAAAAGAAAATGAAATACCATATTATTGCTAATATTATATTAATAAATAATCTACAAGGGGAATAATTTCATTATACTGCACAAATAAATTTCTTTCTCTTACGAAAGAAAACAAATTTCTTCAATTCCTATTCATATACATTTTCATAAAAAAAAAAGTCTCCATTTTATATCGTTGTAACCCTTCATTGTCTATCGTACACTACCAAAATAACTGAAATATACTATAGGAGGAAAAGAAGGCCAAGGAAGAGTTTTTTCCTGCAGAGTGTTGCAAGAATCGCCACAGTGTTGGAGATGGACTATTGGAGATAGAGTTGCAGATAGAGTCAGTGTTGGAGATAAAATGTCAGAGATGAAGTGCTGGAGATAGAGAATTGCAGATAGTGTCGGTATTGGAGATGAAGTGTTACAGATGAAGTGTTGGAGATGGACTGTTGGAGATAGAGCCGTAGTGTTGTAAGAGTCGTTGATAGAGTCGTGTTAGAGATGGAACATTGAAAATGGAATGTTGGAGATATAGTGTTGGAGATGGTGTGTTGGAGATAGACTGTTGGAGAAAGAAAGTTGCAAATAAAATCGTAGTGTTGGAGATGGATCGTTGGAAATAAAGAGTTGTAGATAGAGTCGCAGCGTTGTAAGAGTTGACAGAGTATTGGAGATACAGTGTTACAGATGGAGTGTTAGAGATGGGATGTTGGAGATGTAGTGTTGGAGATGGAATGTTGGAAATAAAGTATTACAGATAGAGGGTTAGAGATAGGGTATTGGAGATTGAGTGTTGGAGATGTAGTGTTGGAGACGGAGTGTTGTAGATAGAGTGTACGAGTTGTTTAAGAGTTTTCCGAGTTGTCTTAGAGCTGTACGAGTCGTTTTACAGTTCCGAGAATTGCGTAATAATTGTCTCAACATTGTGAGTTGTGTCAAATTATCATTATATAATAAAGCACCGTCGTAAATTATTACATGAAAAGCACTTAACAATACAAATTCTTCAAATTTATCGTCGTTTCGAGTTCCATATGTGAATAATTACAGAAACGTTGACGTATTCGCCAAAACGTGGCTGTAATGCGACAAGTAAATGCCATTTGTTTGTTACATTCCTGCAGAAAGTTCGAAATACGTGTACGCTAATTTACATTACTTTCGACCGCTATTCATCATTTCGTTAGGCGTTCCTATCAGCTGCTTTAGGCTCCCGGATAAAAATCGTGTGACAAGTCGATGATGGAGCGGTTAATATTCCGTGTACGACCAAGTATTGGTAGAAATTAAAAAAATTCTTCGAAACTCAGGAGAAATTTCTTTTTCTTATGGTTGGGGTAATTTTAAAATTGATCTAGTGAAGCTGATTGATTGAGTGATTGCAATTACACAAGGTAAACACGGTAAACAACTTTTGCAAAGTAAAGTTTTATACATGAAAAATTAAATTTATACAGCGACTCTGAAACGCCATTTTGAAAATTATTTTTTTTGGTAAAAAATAGAAAAACAAACGAAAAAATTTATTTGAATATTTTCAATAATTTTACTCAAATATTTAACTTCGCCGTATAACATTTTGACTTGTCTAAAAAAGAGGAAACTTAGATGTATCGTGAAAATAAATGCAAATATTCTCGTAATAGTGCTCTAAAAGATAAAAATACCTTTCCATTTTTATAAGTGTTCAAAATTCTTCCATTTCTGAATTCCATCTTTCATTGTATCCTACATATGTAATTTATTTCTGTAGAAAGAATTAACCTTCCTTTTACCAAGAATTGCAATTTACACATAGTACAGTTTTTCATTGTTCGCGTTCTAAGAAATCGTACTTTCAAACAAAGCGAGCATAGCGAGTGAGTTGCACTGTGTACTTGAGAGTAGACTACTGTAATTGATTGTCACAATGGAATCATTGTGCATTACTCAGATTGCATAGTGCTCGTTACTAGCGAACCAAACGCGAACCGTTCTACTAAATTCTTAGAATAAATCGTCGTGCAGTCGAGGCTAATACTTTTCCTTACAAATTAACATTAAGGCGCTTTGCTATTATTGGAATTTTATAGACCTAACAATAAAGGGATACCACAATCAGCGATCAGTGGCAATCTTCGATATTTTCCATTCGAAGCGGATACGAGAAATTGCAAAGGAGAAAGACACGATAAATTGGAAACAGTTGTGCCAACAGTTTAGCAACAAAGTACTGCGAAATTGTTCGAGACATACTGGATTCATAAGAAAAAGAAAAAAAGACAAAGTATTGAGCCTATTAATTTTTTATCTT